ATTAATCACCCTAGCGCATGGCCTTCAGATGAGGCCAGCCTTTCTGTGAAGGCTTCTTCGGGGAAGGCGCTCCAGACCCCTCTTCTCATGACTCCACAGCTGGGAGTTCCAGGTCTGAACAATTTCCTCTCTCAGAAGCCGGATTTTGAAAACTCAGAGGAGGGACAGCCACTGGCTGTGTCTGTGGTCCTTGCTGCTACCCCATCCATCTGCCAGATAAGGAACCTGAGACATTAAGAGGCTCGGCAACTTTCCCAATGCTGTGCCAATAAAAGAGGTCACCTGGCTCTGAGCTCAAGTCTCCTGGCCCAGAGGCTCACTTTCCTCTCTCTGCTGCCTCTTCTTGAATCTCCAACAGTTTTCAATCCATCCCAAAGCACCCCCCTTGGCAGCTGGCCTCTAATGACCCCAAAAGCAAAGCTGGCCACAAGTGGGCAGCTGTCCCAGGACTGGGGGCAGTGTCCAGGGAATGAACTGCCTCAAATGGGAGCCCGGAGCAAGCCTTCCAAGGCACCGGCCCATGGGAGGGAGACTGAGGCACCAGGCAGAAGCATCTAGTGCAAGCAGGGGCTTTCCAGCCTGACTTTCAGCACGTCCACAGTGTCAGATACTGCGGGATGTGAGCCAGCTTCATTCCCCAGACACACAGGGCAGGGAAGGAGGGGGACCCATGAGCGGAGCAGCACCAGGGCTGCCCTTGTTGTTTCACTGGAGCTACCTCATACAGGAGGAGCGCAAGGTGCCCAGCGCGGTGCTGGGGCAGTGGACGCAGAGAGCATACACATGCGGTCATCTCTGTTAAGGAGCCCACAGCTCTGCCTGCACAGACGGCGGAGGTGATTTCCCAGGCACCACAGCACCCCTCGCCTTCGCGTCTGTCTCTCCTGGACCTACTTCTACGCACTCAGAGACTCAGGACCAAAACCGTCTTCTCTTTCACACCCCGCACCCGGCTGCGGCTGGCCGCCAGCATCCTCCAACATTTCTCAGAGCCCTCACTCTCCCCCACACCCTGTTTTATAAACACTCAATTAGTATTAAAATTTCAACACTTTATTTTTTGATATTTTCCTGTTAAGTACTCACTGTTTAATAAAATAAAATTCATAAAGTTAAAATCAAGACTTCACCCATAAAATACTTCTAGAGCTAAATGCGGGTTTTGTCTATCTTTCCGTGTGCTCCTTTTATAAAGAATCACTGCAATGCTCAGTTGCACAAAGGAGAGGAACGGACCTTCCCTTCTTACCTCCTCCTCTACCTCTCCCGTCTGACTCAACCTTAACACCCAGGCTGGCTCAGGGGCAGCTCCCTGGGACCCCTCCCTTCCCAGTTGTTACAGTTTGTGTCTAGTTGTCCCCCCAAAGCCTCATGTCATGGGGCAGACTTCTGAGTTTGTGATTAACTCATGATCTACTGGGATTACGGGTGTGAGTGTGGCTGGGATTGTGAGTGTGAGGGCTGCTGGGATTATGGGTGTGAGTACTACTCCCAGCCTGGGGTGGTAGCCTGAATTCAACCTAAGGGAGACAGACTTGCTCTCTCCTGCCGTTGTTGCTGCTGCTACTCCATCGTGCTCTCTGCTCTTTGCTGCTGCCATGAAAGGTTATTCTCTGCCATGTGCCGCTCTGCCCTGGAGCCAGCCAAGGACAGACTGAAACCTCCAGTAACTGTGAGCTAAATAAACCTTTCTTTCCTTCATTTTGGGTGTCGGGTATTTGTCCCAGCACGAGAGGAGTCACTGAGACACCAGGGCATGGCTACAGCACTGCTCCTGATCACGCTGCATCAGACTGCTTCACCCACTGCTGTCTCTACGCCAAAAGGCGGGTTTCTCAGAATCCAGACCATGGGGCATGGAAGACCAATACGCAGCCGTGTGCTCAGAGCCTGAGTCAGAGCAATAGCTTCTAACTGGAAGCTGAGGAGGCCCAGGGCTCAGCAGGGAAAACAGCAGTGCCTTCTGGGTAGAGGGCCTTCCTGGGAACAGCCTCTACTAGTGGGGGCAAACCAATGGCACACAGTGGGCTCTTGGTATTGTTGAAAGGTCTAAAAGGTTCACCATCACAAAGGCCACTGACACTGGGCTGCGAGACGGGCGACTGGAGAAGGGACATCGGAGCAGAAGGTGCGATCATGACTAACCTTGGCTGTGCTGCAGCCCAGTGGCTGGTTAGCAGGAGGTGAAATGGAGAAAGAATCTTTTGTGACCAAGTAAGTTTGGAAGAAGCTCCGATAGCAGCTCTGCTGGCTTCCTCACAGTTTCCTTTACCATGCTCTTGTGCCAGGTGAGTCTTGACCAGTGAAGACATGGCACGGGGCCCTTTGTGTACCTCACAGACCACAGGGCCTTCCTGCCACTCAGTGGCCTGCATCACCACCTGGGAAATTCTGCCAGGAACAGAGGCACGAGCTGCCTCGGGAGGGGGCTCAAGGCAAGGACTATTCAATTTGGAATGAGGGCTTGGGGTGGGAGTGAGGGGTGAGGGTTGGCTCTAAACAGCACTCCACTAGCTGGGTTCCTCACCCAGCCCCTTTCCCCTGCTCCCTGCACCTGGGTCTTCTGCAACCCTGAGAAGGGCAGGGGCTCCTGAGCAAGCAACCCCCTCCCCCTTGAGGGAAGTGTAAAATTTACTATTGGAAAGCAGTGGACCCAAGGGACGGCTTCCCCCAGCCCCTGGCTGTAGCAGATGGTGTGGTTTAAATTTCAGAAATTGAGGAGTACTTAAGAAATGTTGGCAGGCACTAAGGCACTTGTAAAACCATCTGAGCAGACGGGGCCACTGGGCCCCATGCCTCCAAGAGCAGGGTGGCTCTGAGCAAAGATGGGGAGGACTAGAGGGCCCAGGTCAGGGTTTCTGGCAGGGGGCTCTGGACAAGGCTCTGGACAAGGGGCACTAAGAGAAGGAAGGAGCCTCAGCCACAGCCCTGGGGCCTGTCCACTCTGTCTCTGGTAGGACACAAGAGCCTCCTGCAACTGAGCACTTCACCCTCACCAGACAGTGGGAGTGGTGAACAAAGAGGTGTGGGGAACAACGAACCCAGGAAAGGTCACCAGGGCCGCAGAAGCATCCAGGTTTGGGATCGAGTTCTGCCGCTGCCACTCACTAGTTACATGACGGAGGAGGGGACAGTCTCCCTGCAGCAACCCCTTCCTCAGTTATAAGATGAAGCATCTGGGATGACTTTACATATTGGGGTCTGACACCGTGGGTCCTCAGTACCCAACAGTCACCTCTGTTTGAGGGCACACAGCCTCAAAGAAGGCATGGATGGAATATTAGATGGGGCACACCGAGCCTCAGCGGGAAGGCACTCTGGGCAGGGGCAACTGCAGGTGCCATCGGCTGGTAGGCTATGCAAGCCACTGGCCTCTTCTGTGGGCGTTAGCAGCCTGTCTGTACACAGGGACACCTCACGGATCCTGGAGTATTACTGCCCCCGGGTACAGATGGTCCATAAAATGTAGAGGGGTCCAGTGGTGCCTGGCACTGGGCAGGAACTCAACCAGGAGCTCTTACCATCATCACCCCCTCCAGGACGACTCCCCTGGGGTGGCACCTCTTCTCAGCTCGGGGTTCCTGTCTACTCACTTTGTTCAGATTTCAGTGGTGCCCAGATCATCTTCACTGAGATGTCAGAGGCTGCAGCTGTGGTTAAGTGGGGACCCTGTGCAGAATGGCTACTCCCTGCTGGCTTGCACCCTGCAGAGCCCACCCAACATGCCATATAAGGTCTTCTTTCACCAGGCCACCCCTTGGTCTGTTCCCTATCTGGAGGCATTTTATACACATTAATCCTATCATTTCAACATACGCAAAAGGACTTGGGTGTCTGCAGTTTGCATAAAGATAGACACATGATTAAGATGGAAGCGGAACAAGAGTAATAGGAACAGGACAGAGGCCTCGCCTGTACAGTGGATGGCCATTCACAGGTTGTTCGGAATAGCAGGGCTTGACAAGGGTCACATTTCTGGGTATGAAGCTTGGCTCACCCTCCAAGAGACAGGGTGGCTCTGAGCAAAGATGGGGAGGACTAGAGGGCCTAGGTCAGGGTCTCTGGCAGGGGGCTCTGGACGAGGTAGGTAGGGCACTAAGAGAGGAAAGGAGCCTCAGCCACAGCCCTGGGGCCTGTCCACTCAGCCATTAGCTACCTGCAGATATCAGAGAACACACCTGTTGGAGAACAGGGGCTGAATGTTGGGGGAGACGGTGGTCAGGCCTCGTCCTGCAGGCTGGGGTAACCTCAGTCCACCAGCAGCCTGGGCCAGCTTTCGTGAGGGGTGTCCTCCTGCAGGACAGGTACGTGTGGTGTACAGGGGCCTGAGCAGGATGAGCCGCCATTGGCAGGCAGCAGGATCCACAAGAGGCTGCTCACATGTGGGTTGCACCTCTGGCTCTCACATGGCAGGGAAACTGAGGCTTATTAAAGAGGAGACAGCTGTGCCCAGTGCGCAGAACAGCTAGGGCCAGAGCACTAAATGGGTTAAGAGGGAACAGGTTTCAGAGAGTTCAGGTTGCCAGGGCCCTGGGCAGTGCCAGTCTGCTTCCTTCAGCAATCCAGTGGGCGCTAAAGTGGGGTCAGGGGCACTTTGTCCTTCACTACTCCCTTGAATTCGCTCACAAGCTCCACTGACGGTCTGGTGTGCTCTGTCCTTCCCTTCTGATCACCCCCAGCCCATCCCTTGCCAACCCGAGCTCGGCCAGGCCTCTGCCTATCCAGCCCCGCACCTGGGCGGAGTGGGGAGAAGCAGGTGAGCCATCGGAGGAATCAGGCCCCACGAAGCAGGCTTCCTCCTCCATGCCAGGCCAGGTCTGGACTACCTACCTCCTGGCCCAGTGAGCTGAGCATCTTCTGGGTGAGAGTTGCAGCTACCTAGACCAATGTGAGCTACCAGTCCTGAATGTCACAGGTCCCCACTGGCTGGCAGGCGGCTGGGGCCCACAGTCCTGGACAAAGCCTCCCCTTCTTCCTGCTGTAAGGTTTGGTTGGCTTACCTTTGGGGTGAGGTACTTGGTCATAATTTCCTTCCCTTTCTCTCCCAGTTTTTCATCTGGAGTAACTTCATACTCTGCCTAAAATGGAAGAAGAAATGAACAATAACACATTTATTCACGAGCTTCTTATGGTCAGAGAATCTCAGAGCTTGTTGGAGAACACGCTGGAGGCCACCTAGCCAATCTCCTTCGTCCGTAGGGCAGGAGAACTGAGGCCCACGGAGTGGAGAAGACCCAGCCAGGAGCCCAAGAGGCAGATCACGCTGCCCTTGCCAGCATACACTGGCTCTTGGGATGGTGCTCCCCACATGAGCTGCACATCAGAACCACTGGGGCATCAGGCAAGCTCTGGTGGCCAGGGCAATGGAGCAGACAGTGCAGCAGGTCAGGAGTGCTGGCATTTGGGCAGGAGGGTTAAGAAGTGCTGCCTCATGAGTCAATGGAAACCACTGGAAAATAAGGGCCACCTAACAGGAAGACTACGGACAAGCTGCTTTCGGTCACTCAGGCTTTACTTATTGCTCTACCTCAGAGGATTTGCACAGCCTGTCCATAAGACGCAGAGGGGTCCAGCACTAGTGGCACCTCTGTGCGGGCAACTGTGTGCACAGAAAGGACCGAGCCCTCAGCCTGGGACTGGCACATAGTAAATACTCATTTAACAGCTGCCATAATTATCACTGTTGTGCTTATTACACTTCACAAGGAAAAAAATAAAACTATGCGTGCCTTATTTTCTGCAGACTTTCAGCTTACAAACTGAGAAGGAAAGAGTGCACCCTTTATCACTGCCTTTTTCCTGTGCTCATGGAAGCTGGGCATAGTGGCCCGTGCCTACAGTCTTAGCATTTTAGGAGGCTGATCAAGAAGATCAGAAGTTCAAGCTTAACCCAGGCAACTTAGAAAGGTTCTGTCTCAAAATAATACAAAAGGCCTGGGAGATAGCTTGGCAGTCTAAGCACCTGCCCAGCAAGCTCAAGGACCTGGGTTCAATCCCCAGTACCACATGCCATGCTGGCCCCGGAACCCTGGATGCCATGCCAGCTCCAAAACCCGGCATGGTGGCACTCACCTGTAATCCCAGTGCTGGGGAAGCTGAGACAGGAGGATCACTGTGAGTCTGAACTATGTAGCAAGACTGTGTATCAAATAATCAAATATTTAAAAAAATACAAAGTGGGGGAGGGTTGGGGGAGCTAGAGATGTAGCTCAATGTGAAGGCCCTGGGACCAATCCTCAGTATTGAAGAAAAACAAAAGGAAACAAACCTTAAAAGAGCCAGGGGAAGGCCAGAAAAGGGCAAGAGCTCCTGTTCCACCCCTTCATCAGGAGATGAGGCTCAGCAGTGGAAAGCCAGTTTCCCAGGTTGTGCAGCTGGGGGTAGCAGGGCTAGGACCCCAACCTCTAAGCACAGAGCTCTTTCTCAACACCAAGGAACTGAAAGCGAGGCCTCTAAAAGTCAGGTGTTTTCCTTCTCCTTGACCCAAGAGGGGCTCCTTCACTTACATCTGACGCACTTGCCCAGTGGATGAAAGGCCTCCAGTGAGCAAGGAGCCCGAGTGAGTTTGCTTGCTCATTTAGACAGAGCAGCTAATTGCAAATTGTTTATAACCATTTCAAATCCAAGCATTTGTCAGGCTCAGTCCCAAAAGTACCCTTACTTCAAAAGAGACACAGGAAATGACCAAGGCCTGGGCTCCTCCTCCAGGCAGCCCGCTGGGCAGTGGGACACCCAGATCCTTCTTGGTATTCAAGGCAACCTCCCAGCACAGGGGCTAGAGTTTGGCTCTCCTAGACTGGCTAGGAGGCCTCCTTGGAAAAGGGAAAGAAGGGAAAGATTTGGAAGGGACACAGAGGGACAGCACGCATGCTTCCTGGCCTTGCTGTTTCTCTTCTACAAGACAGGCACAAGCCACAATCTTTTCCTGTGAAGAAACATGAACCCGATGACCACTAGGATCCCAGGGTTAGGGGGCTGTGGTCCCACAGGAATCTAAGCCCTCCTCTTACAAAGCGGGACACTGAGGCTCAGAGGAGCGAAGGACTTGCTCAAGATCCCACGGCCAGGACCAGCGAGTGAGGCCCGGCCTGCCGGCCTAACTTCTGCACTGCCTGACCTCTCCTAGAGCCAATCCTTTATCATCAAGATAAGCCTGAGGGATCAAGGCTTTCTTGTGATTTGAGGACTTCCTCAGACACTAAAGAAAGACGATGGCTTTTTGTGCTCTTCGCTGTTATGTTCTTCTATGCTCCTTCAAATCCCCTAAAACTCACTTGCACGCATACATGTGTGTATAGACACGCTACATACAGCTCCATCACAGATATGATTATTCCCAATTTACAGAGACAGTGGGGCTCTGAGAGGCCAAATAACTGGTTCAAATGCAATCGAGTTGGTAAGTGACAGCACTTCCTCTCTAAAGGAGCTGAGCAGCTTAGAGCCCCTACTGTCCCTGCTCCGGTGAGTGGAGAAGTGCTCAGTGTTCTGCAGGCCCTGGAGGCCAGGCCTCATGATCTAGCATGGGGGAATGCAGCCAGACTGCCTTGCAGGTCTAGGCCCTGGGCAAACGGTCAATCCCATTTGGGGTAACTCAATCCCATCCCAAACACTGGATTTTCACTGTCCGAAAATACATCTGTGAAGGAAGCTCTATTTAAGCAAATGGAGGCCTGTGCTCACAGATCAGCCTCAATAACCAGCTGAAAATATTATTGCTCTGGGTTCTAAAACCCAGGTTACAAAAAAAAATTAAAAAATAACATTACTTTTGGGTCAGTTGCCTCCCAGCAGAGGGTGGATGGGCGAGCAACTCCACAGGGATGCCGCTGGGAGCACACGGGGACAGGCGTCCCCGGCCTGGGATCAAAAGGCCTTTCTTTGAAGAGTGGGTGTCAGGCAGCTACCACTTGAGAAGCACTAGTCTGGGGCGGCAGAAAACCAACAGAAGGCTTCCTGCTGGGTTAGGAAGGAAGGGCGCCTGAAGTGATAGGTCCTGTCTCCACAGTGACCCCCAAGAAGGGGGTCTATCAGCCACCAGTCCTGAGAGGTGACTTACAGAGAGGGAGCCCAACGCAGCTGGGCTGGACAGACCAAATTCCAGGTGGGTGAGAATACCCTTGCCCAGGACTGAGAGAAAGCTTAAGCCAGTTTAGACCAGGAAACAGAAGCAGCAAATTAGAATTTGTACCAACAGCCTAGAATTTTCTAATCAGCTTTGGCTTGGAAAATGGCAGCAAAATGATGAATTAAAAAAAAAAAAACAGGTATACCCAAGGCAAAAGATGTCCCTTGACCTCCATCTGCACTGGCATACCCTTCCCTCCAGGGAGAGCAAGGGGCCAGTACTCTGATCTTCTGCTCATCTGGCCCACTGCCCTGCCCAGAGCTCACAGCCCTTGGAGGACACCCCCACTCTTTCTCTGGGGGTGCTGGCAATCACCTTATGTGCCCAGGTGCTCTACCACTGAGCCACACCCCAGCTCGGAGGCTATTTTTCCTCCCAGATACCTGGGTGCCAACCAGGGCAGGCACCACAGAATGGCCTTCTCTTTGCACTGTGCCTTGACAAACCTAAGAGCAGGCGCTGCTCCCCAGGAGTCCAAGGCTACGTGGAGCTTGACGGTAAAGCACGGCCCATACTTCTGTGCCCACCAAAAGGAGAAGCACCAGCAGGCAGGCATTCCAGGGTACAGGCCTGGCATCTCATGCTGCTGTACTTGTGTCATCAGTCTCAGAAAACGCCAGCGAAAATGAGTCCTAGTGCTCAAGACGCTTTACCTTCAGATGATTTTTAGGACCTGTCACATGTTCAGAGGAGCTATACTGGCTTAAAGAACAGCGTCTGCATTGGGTTCCACTTGGCTCGGTGTCTCAGTTACTCTTCTCTCCTTGCTGGGACAAATACCCCACACACAAAATGAAGGGAGGAAAAGTTTATTTAGCTCACAGTTACTGGAGGTTTCAATCCACACTTGGCTGGCTCCAAGGCAGAGCAGCACATGGCAGAGGGCAACCGTCCATGGCGGCGGCAAACAGCAAGAGAGGAAGTCTGTCTCTGTCTCCCTTATACTGCATTCAGGCTATATGCCCCAAGCTAGGTGCAGTACTCACACCCATAATCCCAGTGGATCGTTGAGTTAATCTCAAACTCTAGCCTCATGACTGCATGAGGTTTTGGGGGGAAGACGAGACACAAACCATAACACCTGGACTGACTTGGTGTCGCCTCCTCCTCCCTGGAGACTTTCTCCTGCCTGGTGGGAAGATGAAGTCAGAGAAGTCATGTGGTCTGGCCACCCCCAGCTTCTATAATTACCGATGTGTTCAGCTTCTCTGAAGTCTGCGAGGCAGGGGCCAGTGATGCGCCTGGCTGGCAGTGCGATTTCCTTTTCTGAAGAAACACCCTGATCCACTCACACCAACCCCAACATGTTGCCTGTGCTAACTACAATGGCTGCCCTTCCAAGCACCCTCTGCCCCTTCCTGGAGGATGTGAGATGGGGCACTTTTCTGTGGCTCCTCATTCTGCATGCTGGCCTCCTCGCATGCCAGCCCCTTTCCTTGTTCTTGCAGGTTGACAGCTGGGATGGCCCACAATCACTTAATAAACCCCGCTAGTTTTGTTATCCCATGGGCACTCTGTAAAGCCCGTCTCAGGTACCCGCACGTGGGAGTCAGAGGGCTTCCACTTCCAGCCAGAACCCCCTGCCAGCCATGCTATGCTGCGAGCAAGTGGGTACCAACTCGGCTTCCACTCGAGGATGCAGAAGCACTGCACACAAGGTTGTCTTGGGGAGCCCGTGGTCAGATGGGCTGGCTATCCCCAAAGCCTATCTGCCTTGGCAGCAGACTGTCCTTTGTCCTTGGATCCCATCTGCAGTCTTCCCAGGCCTGAGTCAGGGGGGTACACTGCCCACCTCAGGGGAGCAGCTGAGAGGTAAGGAAGAGTGGTTCTGTCTAAGCTGGGATACAGACAGAGTGACAAGAGGAACACCAAAGCGATCCCAGTCCTGGGAGCCCCCTACCCCTAACTTGTGAGTCATGTCCCGGCTAGAGGTAGAATTGAACAGAAGGA